GGATGGTAACGTCGTTAGATGAGGCAATTCTTTTGTCGATTGATTTTCTTGCTGATGAGCGGTGGTTGAAGTTATTTCAAGGACCATGTGATTCAGTAAGTACGTTTTCATATTTGCATAACTATTCGCCATCTCTTAACAAGAGAATCCGACATAATCAATGTGACATAATCATATAATCTTTTTAATAATACATAAGATTCAGTAAGTACGTTTTCATATTTGCATAACTATTCGCCATCTCTTAACAAGAGAATCCGACATAATCAATGTGACATAACCATATAATCTCTTTAATAATACATAATCTTCTTTTAGTAACAAATAATTGAAATTGAAAATGTAGCAACTGATGTTGTTTACTAAGCACATAGCAAAGTTATAACTTTGAGATCACATTCTTCGCTATTCATATTGCGGAATGTAACAAACAAGCAGCTATAATTACAATTCGCCTGCAACCGGTCACGAGTAATTGCTGCTTGTTTGCATATTGAACAATGCTTAATAATGGTTTTAAGGTGATACTAAATTCTTCGGTTGTACGTCTCGAGGTTAAAGATATATGAATAAGCAAGGAAGTGTAACGATATATATATTGTATAAACAATGTAATTGAGAAACGTTTGAAGTTACAAAACTCAGCCGTCATTACATCGACGAAAAAAATATAAAAATTGTTTAAGTGGTATATAATTGAAATATCGAATAGCCGATCATCAAAATCCGAGATAAGTAGTCAGACGGACGCACGACAAAGAAGAAAAAATCGAGGAACCTTAAATGAGGAAGGTTTTTCGTAGGGTCTAACGGAGCGAAACCAGTTAAAACCAGAAGGGTCAGTGTCGAGGAGGAGAAAAAGTCGATCAATCGGAGCGCCGGAGGGAACGTGGCGCGAATCCACGGAATCTTTTGAATTCTTTGTCGGCGCTCTGGGAACTCGAGACCCTCGGCTATCAAGGCAGCTTTGTAAGAAGGACGAAGGAGACGACGTCTATAGGAAGGAACAGAAAGAGGATGAGGACGAGAATGAGAAGGTGAAACGCGAGCCGACATGAGAACACCTTCGTGAAAGAGTCTGTGACCAATGACGCATCATCGTCACCCGTTCGAATTGCCTCTTTCATATTTATCTCTCTTCTCGTGAACACCACTTACTCTGTAATTGCTATTTCGTGCAAAACTGTCGATCCGTGAACTGGTCTTACTGGAAACTGGTCTCGAGAAAGATGATTTTTATCGTAAGATCTGGTTCTGTTCAAAAAGTAAAACGTTTTCCTTGCTATCGATGATGCAGAAAAAATTGGTTTCGGAGAAGCAGTTATTTAAAAAGGAGCAAATATCGTAATTATTCGTCTCGGGATTCCTTTCATCGTATTCGCTGCTATTAAAACATGTCTACCTTGTACTTGGGCGGTCTTGCATAATTAAAGTCGTATTACTAGCAAATTTTTCAAGTCATAGGATAATTTTCAATCGTTGAGATTTATCGAAGAAAAACTTTCAAACAATTTGCATTTCAGCGACGTAGCTTCGTCATCGAAAACCATTACCACGCGATTTTTCGTCGCTTGAAAGACAATTCCCATTCGTTTTTTCGCAAGGCTGATGTACTTTCAGTGGCATCCATCACCGTGCATTCGTCATTGCATTGTAACGCATTTAGCAGTCTATAATCAGCATCGATTATTGCGCAACCTCCAGAGGTTCAGCATCTGTGATTGAATACACTCCACTTTACGCAGCCCCGTTGAAAGCGCAGATGTTATCTCGAGGCTGCGTTGGCCGAGACTCGATTGTGCACCAAATTGAAAACTTGGATCAAAATGGGCCGAGCGAAATGTCACCGCATTAAAACAGACACTCGCATGTAACGGTCTCTTGATTGAACAACAAAGACACCGTATGCACCAGCAATGGAGTGGCCAGCGTGTCTACCCTCGCTTTTATGCTAATTGCACTTAGGTCCCGGAAAAAGGCAAAGCGACGCGTTCTACAGCCGCGGATTCGATTGCGTGGACCTCGCCTGATTTACGTATCCTTGAACAATGTATACACCGAACTTTCACGAGACACCTGGTAACTCGTTCGTTCGTTCGTTCGATCGGGCTATCGCAATTTTTCCAATTAGAAAATAGACACTGACTAGTCTGATGTTGGCCGTTTATTAACGAGCCACTCGCGAGCTGATTTCTGATATAGGAGTTGAAACGGTTGCGTCACGGTGGTTTATTGCTATTCCACGGTTTTCCAACGCGAGACACTGCAATTATCGATACCAGATCCACGGGAGAAGAAAATATTTCAACTTGGAATACGTTACATCGAAATAACATACGTTGGTTCGACTAATAACATAGAAAGAAAGTAAAGACCGGTATTTGTTCGAACGTTTCGTTATTTGATAGAAATTCATAGTAAAAGTGGTAAAGTCTTTTCGAACAACGAAACACTTTCGCGAGTCACTGAAAGTAGCTACGCATACACAAGCCACGAGACGAATCGTACAAAGGTACGGTAATGACAGAACGAATTATAAAATTGTATAAAATCGCGCGCTTGAAATTTCCTCTATAGCATCCTATTTCGTCCTTTCCACGCTGCTAATGGTATGAAATCGCATTTATATGAATTTCTCCTTCAAATTTACCGCGAACTCATCGCGTAATCGAATTTTGCAACGCAGAAATGTCATCGAACGTTAATGGCGCCGCGAGTACACGCCTCGGCTTTCTACGATTGCCGTTTCCTCTTCAGAAGTTCGCTCGATTGTTCGATCGTTGCGCCGCAGCGTTCTCAGTAATATGTTTTCAACATACGATGGACGAACACTGAGCGACGAATCGAGCATTATTCGAATCCAGATTCGCAGCAAGGAATGATATTCACGCGTCGAGTAGCCTTTGCAACAGTCTGACGGGCTTCGTGTCGCGATTTCCGTTCGTTCACCGGAAATCGAGTGAAGAAAATAGGAGAACGGCTACGAGGGCAGGCGCGAATTTGCCGCAGAACCTGTTCACGGCTGCTCGACGCGGAATATGTCTTAGACGCTGTTGGAATATCGCAACAGAGGATGTCGTTACGTAAGATACGGGTGCGCAGAGGGCTCGTGCCTTGTAAAACTGTTTTTACAAGGAAAAAGAAGGTCCGAGCCTAACGAGCTCCCGTAACGGAACACAACCAGAGTACTTTGTAAAAAACTCACCGTGATTCGTCCCTCGAATTTTTGCTTATTACCCGACGCGTCGCGAACTATCGAATTTCAGGAGTTTGATCGTCGTTACTGTAAGCGAAATCGGCTCTCTCGAAAATCCTTACTCTTCTATTCCGTATATTTATAGAAGTATGTTAAACAACATTTTTATTTACATGTCATTTTTCATCGCCGTGCCCTTTACGGCCGGATTATTTTTTTCAGGATTATCGTTAATCGAAGGTCGACAAACTCGCCAGCGATGATTATAACGTCCGTTCGCAAGAAGATATAGCTGATACTCTGCTATGACAATTAAAATCCACGGGAGATAGTTCCATGGAACGTAGCGAACCTCGTTAGCGCGACATATGTCCGCTTCAGGTAGACGAGCACATAGTGAAATGGTTAGGTTCCTGACCGAGAACATTAAAAAGTTAACATCGCACGATTTGTTTCTTGAATGGGAAAGACACGAATCTGTGGCGACAAACCGAGTTTGTAGCGATTTAATTTGACTGATTTTATGCATAATTTGTGGCAGAGGTAATATTAATAATAGACACAAATGTCTAGTTGTAATTTAGATATAGAATCTATAAAATTTTCTAACTCACTACCTTTCTCCAAATTTCTCCAAACCACTCCTTTCCATCTGTAGCTACGTACATACTTTATGAAAACTAAAGCATTTAGAAACGTCTGCAAAACCTGTACACCAGTTCCTGTGTTCAAACGTGCTCGCTCCACACAAGCACCGAGCAATCGCGTGACACACGTGAAACGACGATCTTACTACCATCGTCGTTTCTTTCATTCAGACATCGGTTCGATGTGATTGGACCTGAAGGATCTCAAACATCTGTATCCTGCAGGAGACTGTGAATGATCTGAGAACGGCCTCGACGACTTTCACTTCGATTCTGCTAGAAGTGGAACGGACGCAACAAGTGGTTTCACATGTACAGATATATTAGCCTTCGATTTCCTATATTTTCAGTCACGTTATTGCTTTCGGATATTATTTCTGTTCATTTTTACGCACTAGAATCAACAAGAACTGCAAAAATTCCTTCGCTTGTAAGTCAATCTTGTTCTTTCTAGCGAACTATTTCATTAACCTTTTACTAATATTCCGTTCTTATTATTTCTTAACCCTACGGTTCCTAAAATTTGTATGTTCCAATCTTACACTAGTTTCAACCAGCAAAAATATCCTTAATATCTTAAAAGAAACTTGAACTTAAAATTGAAACTGGAAATTCAAAGTAATCCGGGAAGAATCGCGTAGTAAAATAATGCATAAAATGTATTAGAATAACAGGTATATAATAAAAGCTCGCACGAATTAGGAACGTAAACAAGATTTCCGTGACTTAAGAAAAGTTAAAAAATTCATCATAGTGCTATAAATATTACAATTCCTTTGATATTCATAAAATCGTAATATCTACATTGGAGAACAAATAATGACGGAAAAGATATCAGGTAAATCGCTGCTATTCTCTTTCATAACCACGATATTAAAAAGTAAATAATATAAATAATTATAATATAAATAATATAATAATAATAAAAATTATATAAATAATAATAAAAAATTATAAATTAAATGTTTCCTTTTCGCAATACCCGCCCTTAATGGGTTAATATACATAACGATTTTTTCATATTATTCCAATCTTAACAAAAATCTTAACGATAGAAAATCATGTTTGAGTAGAAAATTACCGAAAGAACACAACAGGGTCAATCAACTTGGAGTATATTCGAATTAATTATCCAAGTTGTTCCTCGTAACCGATTTTATCGTATGCCAAAAATATCCGAAGTCAGTCCCATTAATTGGAAGGTAAAGTGTTTCCAGGTTTGTAAGAAACGAGGAGAAGAGTCTAGAAATCCACTAATTTTCGACTGGCGCGTACGATTCACGGTCGAGAACCTCAGGTGTACCCAGTTCGGTAGACATACCCATACGAAAATATATACGAATCCCTTCTCTTCTAAGTCGTACGACGTGGTTAACCGGTCGGTTTACATGTGTACAGGTTATTCGAGGCGTGGGCGATCCAGAACGAGTGGCAGCGCGCAAAAAGAAAGGAAGAAGTCTGGATGGGCTAAAAGATATCAATCGCACGGCACCGAAACCCCGACGGCGTTCGTGAAACGCGAACGTCACGTGCAATTAAGCATCTATAAAGCTAAATTATTTATTCATTACCGGTGTTTTGCAACGAACCAGAAGATTTGTATCTGTCATTGTGCGATGCGTTGAAGTTTTATTATTATTTGAGTGTTTCGTTTTATTTTACTCTTTAACAGTATATTTCATGTCAGTCTTATCTATTAGTTAGTCTAGTGACGAACAGTAATGTAAAAGTTTAATTAATATTTGTATTCGACTTGAACTTAAATTGTACGTACAGGGAGAATAATATTATCTTAAAAAACACCTAATAGAAAAGCTCATCCAGTCACGATGTATAGACAAAAAATCGGATCTATCCGTTCTAAAGATCGCTCGTATCTTTGTGTCGGTTAATTTGTAATAAAACTTGTTGCGTTTAATATTCCGCTTGTGTTTCTCTTGGATTATAAATTTTGTCCACGCAAGATACCCGATATGATGTAACATCGCCAAGTTATCAAACTGAATTATCTCCCAATTTATTAGCGATAATTGACGTTTTCCTATTCTACATCCATCAATCATGCGAAACAGCCGGCCCCGTAGAAGTTCATAAAATTGAAAAATATGTCACGAATGGTTATCGAACGTAGAAATCGACGCAGAAGCTGGAATATTGATGAGAGAAAAAACGAATTCACCTCCGGTATTGGCAATTCGTGCAATCGTATGCGTGTTATAAATAATCGCGCGAATGCAGAAATTATACAGACGAAGAAAAATTCGATGGTGCAGACAGGCGTTATTTTCTTGGAATCCTGGTCGCTTGCTTGCCAACCGATCGTTTCTTGATCTCGACACGTTTACTTGGCTGTACGCTCCGATCGTAGTAGCGTGTATTTTCAACAGCCCACGAGAATACTAAGTATCTTTGCATTGAGTATTCCTGATATGGAGACCGAACGTTTAAACGTGTGTCGCCTTCGATGTAGATTTCCAGAAAAAACACCGGCGAATACGGGATTTGCTAACGTTTCGCACGATTCGAACTCTCTGAAAGATTCTTCCGACGTCAAGAAACGTATAGACGATAAACTCGCTCACAAAGGAAGCTGAGGGTTTTCCGTGTAAATATCGGATGTTTTTTAAATATCGTATCGCGTATGTTTTTACGAGAAAGAATTTTAAGTTCAACTAGAGCTGAAGATTATAATACATTTAAAGACGTAAAAATGCGCAACACGTAGACAACATGCGAAGATATACAAAATATACGTATTAGAGTTGTAACATGGGTGGAATAAATTTCCGCTTAGGTCTCGTTTCTTTAATTGTGCACATAAAAATATAAAAATATCGAATAATATCTGCATCCTCTGATTAAATAATGATTCTAAGAATTTTATGCGTAAACACGGACGCACATCGTTAAATTTATACATGACAAATTTAATATGATAAAAGTATCCGGGATATTTTCACGAATATCATGTTAGATATCGTAAGGCTGCGTAAATGATGAAGTACTATCTAAAAATAAATCGTTGCAACTGCACAACGGTTAAACTTAAACTGTTATGTTTAGATCGGAAGTTTAGGAGATCGAATTGCAAAATTCTTCTTCAAGCAAACTTAACACTTCAGTACTTTTTGAAAATTCTTAAAATGTATAGTTATTCCAAGCTTCTACTTGGTAACGTCCCGATATCATCGATAAGTAGATCATAGAACGTAATTATTTCATAAAATAATTTAACCCTTTCACGTTAAGCGATACCTTAATAATTTACTACTTTCATAAGTGTTTTGCTAAGTTATTAAGTAACCAATTATTATTAAGAACGAATATAGAAACAAGCTCTCTTACAAGCTAATGAAAATTCGTCTGGAAAGATTAAGCGACCTCACACGTAAGATGTTGTACTTCAATAAAGAAGAGAAAAGAACAAAGCGGACGTATTAGAACATTCTGAAACAGGGTGGGATTTTGTAAGCGCCTTGAAACGTGTAGGTATGAATCGACCAGTGAGAAAATGTTGAAGGACACACTGGACATAGTCAGGGTAATATCTCGTGGAACATCATTACGGAAACGACCAGTTTTATCTCCTCGGGAAGAATCGCATAAAGCGGGTCGTGTGTGTAATCCGTGCCGTGCAGCCTTTATCATCAATGGAAAACAATCAAGAATGAGAGGCTTCTGAGGAAACGGTTTCGTATATGCAACGCTGTAAAATAATCCGTTGCATCTGTGCAATTCACTCACTTGCCAACTTCTGAAAGACTTGATTATTTACATTATCTTAGTAAATGATGATAATGACGAAAACAACGATCGCTTTCTTTCCACTTTTCAATTAAATTCACGAACCCGTTTGACATCGGTGTGAGAAAAAAATCTAATAGTTTCGACCGAGACCCGTATCTCTGGCCAGCGAAACATCTCGCGCAAACTATATGGGCCACTTATGGAATTCTGAACGGTAATTAAGATATTTCCTTAATTAGCGGCCAACACTGGCCGCGGTCAGTTACTTGGAGTAAGGACGGCGATTGAATTAGTACCGCTGCTCGGTTATGCTCCGTAAAGTGCAACGTTAAAAAAATAGGAGATAACGGGGGCCAAGCGGCAAGGAAATAATTAGCTGAAATTCATGCCATTTCTCGTTTAAATTGACGTCATTCTTATATCGAAAATTATCCTTAATAACAGGTGTAAGAAAACAATAAACTTTAGAATTTTATTATTGGTACAGTTATCATAATGTGCTATATCATAATGTGCTTGATACGGACAAGAGCGTGAGAAATATCAAACCGACTTGAAATATAGAAATATCGATATATTAGTATTAGTTCCTCGCTAAAATTGTCTCTTTAAATTACGACAGGATTGCTGAAACGAACGATGCTAACATCGAAATTACGTAAAAATCGTCGTACGCGCTTACGCAATTGTAAGAGTGAAAATGCATCGACACAAAACGATTTCAGTTTCTGATATATCCCCATATTGTCTTCTGAAATGTTTACCAACTTCTCTACACGCGAATGGTACCAACCACAAAGTAATTGAAATTCATAATGCTTATAATCTAATTTAACTGGTCTTACACGGGCATAATTAATTTTTGTATTAATATAGCGTAGCTAATATAACAGCTATATTCGTGAAATAATTATAGCAAGAAGAAAAAATGCCCAATTAAATTTAAATCGCAATAATGAAAGAAAAAAGATACATGCTAGTCATGGCCCATAGTTGGAACCAAAGGAGAGATTCTCAAGTACCAGGTTAGTTAAGTTTATGTCGTTATCGGTTATTATTTCAGATAAAGTTGATTTAACGAGACTCTGAAATTAATTACAATTCGATGCAATGCCTGTAACGACCACAGGGTTTTATACGGTTGCGGGTGGCATTGAAGATTATCGTTGATTGAACATCGCGCGGCCGATTGAGAAATACTTGAGGATATAATAGCCCTGCCCACGATACCCATAAATCACGGAGATTGTCAATTAATAACCTGTAATGGATGTTGGAATCGAAGAACCATCACTTTATCTAATGATTTCGAAGAAACCGAGTGATTGTTCTTGAAACTGGACCGCACCGGTTCGTTAATGAGGTAACTCGAACGATTAACATCGTGTAACGTGAAATATAACAAGTAACGTTAAAATTTTCCTTCCTTCCTATCACGACATTTTATTTGAACTGCTTCCTCAGATCGTTATTTCTATTTTTATACCATAAACAATTAACATTTCAAAAGTCAACGTTGCATTTATAATATTCTTTTTGCTTATAACATTATGACAAACTATTTTGTTTAGTCACAGAAAGAATCAGAAATATATTTCGCATCCCTAATTTGTAAAGTGAGCTTTTTAAAGCATTATTATAATTTATTTTTTGTATTTTGATGAAACGCTTCTCTTATCCTTTTTATATTTCGTTTACACAAAATTTATATACAATTTCATTGCTCGGTTCATAATGAACCTTTAAAATATGTCTTTGTAAACCTTAACTTCTACTATGTAACAGTATAACTATACGTGATGAAATCTTTACAAACGAACCAATTATGTTATTAACCTATTGTTGCTGATAAATCATTGTACACGAGTAACCTTTCATTACATCTGTCTTCGGAAAGTAATCGCAGCTCGAGAATGACGAGTATACAAATCCCTTGATTGTCGTTGTCATTCAAGGAAAATGCTTTCTGGCAAACAAGTTACCTTCGTAATACCGTGTCATTAATTTCATCGCTACAGTTTGGGGTATAATGTCTACCTGTCCTCGTTAAGTATGCGTAAAGAGTGCGTGGGTCGTGTACCGGCTAAAGCGTCTCGCGCATGACAATCAACGTGTAAAGCGAGCTTAATGGATTCGCGTATCTCGTTTAAATCGTCTTCCACGTGAACTTTCGAGCTTCGACGGTCTCACACGCGAAGTCTTAACTGATTAGATTCTTCGACACCCCATTATTATCGACAAGAAAAAGACAAAGACGAAGACGGGCGAGCAAGATAGTAAAACATGCAACGAGCCATTTCCCTCTCACTTTAGGAAATTTCTCTGTATAGGAAAAAATTATACGAACAAACACGAGCCTGATATCGATTTTTATCTTTTAACGACAAAATGTTACACAGGCATAATTAGAAAATTAAAGCGTAAACAGTCAACAAATTTATTAGAAATATAATTCTCTTCAGACAAGTAATCACTTATAAGCATAAATAACAACGTACCTACTGTGGCTCACGAAAGTATGGACACTTTATTATAGGTATAATCGTAAAAATTTTACGATTATGTCCATACTTTCGTAAAATTTTTACGATTATACCTATAATATAACATTTTTTGAAATTTATATCTAGACGTATTTATATTATCAAATCTATCAGGATATTCCCTTCTTCGATCATTTTATATCAAAATACTTTCTTTGTATTCATCGAGTAAAAATCAAGAAACTAACAAAAATAGGTCGAAATGAAAAGAAAAAAGTGTAAGGAAAAAGTTAAATTTTATATCTCATAAAAAAACCTGACCTTTATGTTTACATCACCACGCTAACGAATGCCAAAGGGAATGAACGCATTCGACAACAATGTTAACGAACTAGACAGCTTTCTCACATGGCTCGACTAGATTTTCCAGGCTAAGCTGGGACACAGGTAAAATTCTTCATCGTGCATTCCTCAACGTACAAGATAATCCGATCGTTCCTGGTGGGTATCAAGTATCAAGTATCAAGATCTTCCTTGTCCATGTTCCTTGTCCTGTATGTTCGTTCGTCTAGCGAACGTGATTTAATTATCAACCGAACAATTAACAAATGAAACCCATAT